AACTATACAGTACGGTATCTTTCCCTCTCGTATTCTTACGACTGAGCACTATAATACAGTTCATTCGGACATGCAGATTCCATCATCTCTTTCCCCTGCCCCACGATGATCCAGATCATCTTTCACACTCTCATCCCCCTCTGTCTCTCGAATCTGTCACCGTCTCTCGAGTCTTCCCCCTGACTATATCGTCATTGCAGCGTCAAGGGTCCCCACCTGGAAAGAAATAATGGAACGGGTGCATTGGGGGCGTGTGTGCATCTGTTTGTCTGCGCTCCAACCAACCAGAAATCCGCGTGGCGTCGTCGTCAACGTCACTGGTCCACATCGGGTTTTTTTGCTTCGTTTTTCCCTCGATTTATCTCCGCCTTTTCGCTCTCTGCCCATTTCGACATTTGCCAACCTCCGTATGAAAAGGTCGATTGAGTCTAGAACAAATCGACTGCGAATCACGGTTTGTTTTCAACTCTTGGAGAATGCGTGTTCAGATCTCGCGTCAACGGTCGTAAAGTTTGATGCCGAGTCTCGACCAGGTCTGTACGAAATTAAATGCTGCGGCATGACGTAGTTGATGAGACGTAGAGCAACCATCCCACTTACGCTCACCGTTTTGACAATTAATTACTGTTGTAACGTCTTGATAGCCCTCTCAGTAACGGAGTTTCAGCTGAAAAGCCATCCGCCCAAAGGCAAAAGCTGAATCGGAACCACGCCATGTCCCGACTTCGGCTAATGTCAAAAAAAAACGGCTGCTCCTCCGCTAAGCGATTTGATCTTGTGTCTATGATTTTGTTTCAAGTCTGTTTGGCTCATGCTCTCTCCCTTGCTGGGAGATGATTTCAGGGACCGCTGCTTAGACTAAGTTAAGGCAAAGCTTGATACTCCGTACAGATATCAGAAACGTAATGCTCAATTATAAGCCGGGGACTCGGGCTTATGCGAGGATTGCCTGATGCATGTCACTCCGACGCCCTTGTCCGAGTCGCGGACGAAGCTATCCAGCTTTTCGGTATTCCATATTCCACCGGCCGAAGCTTAACAAGCCTCGATTATCAACCAAGCCAAGCCCTGCGAGAATATACTGTAGTAGCTAGCTGCCGTTTCCTTACGGTTCCTGATTAGGGCATCCAACGGACGCTAAGAGCACACCCTTGCAGATGGAAGCCTCAGACACCAAGACATCTTTTCTCACCGTCACGTATGTATGTACGTCTTTGCTTCAATCCAATCCACATCGAAGGGCCTGGACCCTGAGATCATCCCCTCCATAACGGATAGATTATCAAATCAACTCTCCAACTAGGGTTGCACGCGAGTAGAGCAACTCATCAGCGGCGCTTGCAATTATTTCTAAACAAAGACCCGACCCAGCAGCATGGCCTCAATCTTGAAAGGGCCAAGGCGAGAGAACAATCTCACTCAAGTCTTTGCGGACAAAATGCTCTCAGAGAGGAACTGTTCGAGTAGGAATCGAAAACTTTAATCACTTACCGCTAGTTGTTCGCAGAAACATGGCGTTGATTTCCAACTTCAGCCAAGGCTGTGTGCCAGCGAGACGCCGCCTTACAGTACTAGCCTCATCGAAGCAAGGCGGACCCTTGAATTTCTGACCTTTAGCATCTTGGGCGGGAGGGGCACGAGACGAGACTGACAACAAACTGGTGTTTTAGCCAGGAGATGCCTGACAGGACCAGATTCATCCCACTTTGACAGTTTGCCATGTTCAATAAACCTGCAGAATCGTTCCCACGGCGGGAAATGGATATCGAGAAGATCCACTCGAGTCTGACTGAGGTCCCGAACGCCTTGTGCGCCTTGTGCGCCTTGTGCGATAGAGGCCTATGCTACCTCCGTGACGTAGGATGGACCGTTCTCGATGCTCAGGCTGTGCTTCAGCTGAGCAACGACGCATAAGCCAATGTGTTCTAGACACTGGGTATGACATCGTCGACTTTTGATGAGCCTTGTTCTTATGGGAATTGTCATTGTCGATAATCGGTTGTGGTTCTGTCAAGACATAGTATCCCTGCCGTCGATGCGTCCAGACGTGTCGATCATGCGAGACGGTGTTGACACGAGGCAGTTCGGTTTCTAAATAAGGCAAGAGGAATTAAATGCACTTTTAATTGATTACATGGCCTCTTGGGTAGCCACTCGGGTGGGATGTGGGATTTGAGGGTTCTCATTCCGACTGGTTGTATGACCTCGAGATGGATGGTACCCTAAGCCTAGTCTTTGTCCTTCAAAACCAGGGAGGACAAAATCACTCCCAATTATACTGTTCTACGGTTGACACTTTTCCTATGTCTGTGAGAGACGTCATAATGGATTGTTGTGAATGTGTTAAACAAAACCACTGCGCCAAAAGCCCTACAAAATGTAAGGACCCTACACTAGAGGGGCCTAAGGCAACAGGGCTTAATTTTTGTACAACAGAATGATTTGTACCGTTTCGAGTTCTCAGTCCGAGGGCCGTTTGTCCAGCATCATTCGTGCCAAAGCTATCCCAAAGCTGTCCAATATAGGAACTGTTCCGATACTATGCTTCGATTATACACTTAAGCTTGTGTGTTTTTGAAGAAGCTAGTCTATATCGCACACTTTGTTCCTGTCTGGTCCAGAGCTAATTCGGCCCGTCAGAGTAACTACATCACCGATGACCAACTGACTCGTAACCACCTACTCGACAGTCCGTCACTAGCACATCACCAAAAACACCTACATTAAGATCACGATTTGACCTAAACCCTCAATCACCGATCCTTGTCACCGTCAGAGAATCAACTCATATCAAATGCCCAAACAGTCATCCTCATCTTGATCACAAAATCATAGCATCGGGCCTCACCGGTAGGGTAGAGCGATCAGCTGACCAGAGCACCTCTACACGTGCGCTGGAAATACCTGTTTTTTTGCTGGATATACCAAGCTTCGATTGTTGTTCTAGACTCGAGCATGAATCTGTTTAGCGTGACACGCGACTCGAGCTCTTGAAACTCTGGCAGTTGTCGGGGGGGCCGAGCGGCGTTTGATAGAGCTCAAGTGGGACGGAACGACACGTCTTGGTCGTTAGTTTGGATGGTTTGAAGGATTCAAGGCGCCATGGCCGGTCACTGACATGTAGGGGGACTTGATAGTACAGCAAATAGAGGGAATAGTGGTTAGTCCCCATAGAATTCCTGTGATTATATGCTTAACTATGGGTATATTTACATAACATCAATGAGAATGAGCATCAGAGAACCAAAGCTTGATATTCAGGGTCATAAATTAGCTGTAAAACGCCTAAACTCAATAGTCTGGATATCATACAATGTTTTGCATTTCTACTGGTTCTGTCATCTGAATGATCCCATCAGTCCCTGCTGAGCTGAAGGCACATGTTCTGATTCTTGGCATTGCAAGCCCGAGTTCCTGAGCTATGGTTCAGTCATACTTAATATCCTCGTGTTTTACAGGTCACATCCGATACCAAGACTGAGCTGAAAGCTTGCTGACAAGGACTGTTTCCCTCATGAGTCGTCAAACCAACCACAGAGCATTAAGCTCAAGCCACAAACTCGATCTCTTCCACCAACAACTCCAAAGTGCAAATCTGAAACATATCTCTAAAGCTGCCCCTCGCACCCTGGCAACTACCTTCCTCCAGCATGACTCTTAAGCCAGATCTCACCATCTGCTGACTTCCAACCTCGCTTTTCCCTGAAAATCCTGCCTTTGGCTAGACTAAGACTTACACGCGATCAGTGTCTCAGATGTCAGCGGAGCGATCGCTCCGACGCAAGGGCATGCAATTGCTGAAAAGAAAAGTCAGTCGGCCAGCTGATGCTATTCGAGACAAATCGCATGATGCTATGAAGTGTTTACCGTATTCGCCGTATGCGGGTTTCAGAAACTACCGTTTTGTCGATGCAAGGGCGAGAAAGGGTTGACTGACTCTCTTCCAACAACTAGTGCAACACGGCTGATATTCTTAGACCATATCATCATAAGCCTACTAAATTATCCTAACCTTAGACTTAATGACCTTAAGCTTAGGCCTGGGTTGCATAAACTCATCATAAGGATATGTATATGTGCATTCCCTTCTATTCTTGCATTCAGGTCCGGTGATGGGATGACAACTTGAAGGACTCGGTATCAGTAGCTGTAGGTGACTTTGCTTGCATCTACCGATGATGCCTGACCTTTCCCATCGTGGATTTGATTTGGTTAGACCAAAGGCATTATCTACTGGTCTTCTAGGTACTTATTTAGGACTGGAAACTGTGTTACTGGAGATACCAACAACGACCAACTACACACTAGCATCGTCTTTGTTTCCAGGCGCTCGCAAGCTCTATCTAACACTCTTTCCATGCATGGCCTATATTAGGATACCTTTGTAGTTACTATCCAAAGTGGACGAAATATCCATTGCTTGCTGCTCTGCTCGACTCTTCTCCTCTTGAGACCTGACATACAGACTTCTTGAACATCGATCATGCTCTGCGTTGCTTATCCGGATCACGGATATCGACAGTATACAATCACAACTGTTCTCTCAGTTTGACATGTCTTCAAAGTTTCGCCACCTTGTCAAGTGGGTGTTACTCAAATTGGTGTGTATTCATACTGGACGTAAGCTCTATTTGCATGCCAGATTTAACCTTTGAGTGACTGAACAGTGATGCCAATACGCCATTCGGGAAACATACACCATCTAAACACATAGTCCAGAGACCTGCCATGCCTGCCATGCCCCCCTCCGTCGAAATCGTCTTCTCCCTCACGATCAAATGAAGCGATAAGGTCGTTGGTGTTCATCTCGTTACCTCGGCCTTCGCAACTGATATCGAAATGTTTCTGTCCGCGAGATCAGAGTTACCTAACAAATAGTTAGTGCTTCGACTCCATATTTTTATCGACGTCTCAGATTCTTACTGAATAACTTGATCCTCGGCGAGTGCAGATGTGAGATCGAGGATATCGTCAGTTTCCGGGGGCAACGCATCATCTGTCTAGTTCCCCTCTTTGACGTCTTCCTGTGTTCCCACAGTAGGCTCCTGCATCTTGGCTTCCTGAAGATGCTTTGTGAGCTTGTTCATCTCTTCATGCTTTGATTCGCGCAAGGCTTGAGCCTTGGCAAACTGCTCAAGATGTTCTCGCTCCTGCTCGCGCCGGAGTGACTGAACCATACGAAATGTTTCTTCGATGATTAGTGCCAGCTCTTTGTCGGGATCTTGGTGAGCAGCATCGTCCAAGGGTGTTCCAAGTCCTCGGTTTAGAAGTGTCACTTGGTTAGGAACTTCCTGCTCCTGTTTCAGTAGATTTGGGGCTTCTGCCTTCTGATCGGTCTCGAGGATTGATTCAGTGTTGGGTGCAATATTCTCAAGGTTGTTGTTCTTGGGAGGCGTGTTCACCCCAGCCTCTTCTTTAGGAGGGCTAGACATCGTGAATGCGTCAAGGACGATGTTACAGGTCAAATGGGATATTAGGTAGCAGACCAAAGGATGAAAGGATAGTGTAGCGATGAGGGGGGATGAGGAAGACTTTCAATTTGCTGGGGTTGTAACTCGTGCGGGAGAGAGATAGAAAGCCAGTGATTCAAGGGGCGGAACGGTGGTTATGTGAACACTGGCCTGGAGTGAAACTGCACAATGAATCATAGCCATGCGTAAACAAGTAGGCAGAGAAATTCTCTATGGGCATTGTCCTTGAGCCATGTTATCTATAGCCATTATCTTTCGGCATCATTCTTCACTCATCGTCCCAATTTCTCTTCACATCCCTCCCTCTTGTGCGTCTTCAACTGCCCTTACCTGGTAAGCCACGTCGGTATTCCTTAATCTCCTGGCTTTTGTCGAATCCCTCCTCTCCCCAACGTCACGCCAACGTTACCATGTCGGCGACGAAGCAGATGGCTTACGTTGCTGACGGTTGAATCAAAGCCGATCCGACCAACATGCAGTTTGGGGTCATGGGGAGGTAAATCCAAAACTGATACGCAAGATGACTGCGGCTATTACCGAAGATGCAAAATCAATAACACAACTAAGTCTTTTGGGAGCTATTCAAGATTTAGGGTCTGTATCCAGACTTAGGTTATATCATCATATACTCGCCATATGGAGCCCTAAATTCATCATAGGTCCTCATTTTAAGCGTGATATGCAATACTTCCAAGTCCCTGTGCTCTTTTCGAGGAGAGTCTGGAAGCTGACATGGATGGCTTTGTGTTTGGAAGCAGACCAGGAAGAAATGTGCATTCAACAGCTCTCAAGTTGGGATGCACAAGAGCAAAGTTCCGAGACACGGGCCAGTAAGATCAAAATCAGACAGACATCATCAATGCTATGTCTGTCCCAAATATCGGCCTCTGAAAAATCACATATGAACCCTACCAGATCAAGCTCACCCATAATCTTGCCGGATTAGTATCTGGTTATCTACTTGTGATATATGCACAAACTTCACCTATTACAAAGATCATACTTATGTCGCTTGAGATCGTTGTTTCCATTATGGTACAATCTTCTATCCTTACAACTCCGCTCCCGCTGTCACGACCCAACCCATCTATGAACGGCCAGGCTCTGTTGCGAACCCAGCAGGTTAACCAGCAGCAGAGACGGCAAGAATATGGATAAATAAAAGAACGCCCTTTGTTGCAGTTTTTTCACTTCCAAAGCTTGCCAAGAGACACCTCCTTATCGTCGTGTTTGTTGAGAATCTTTGCTGTGGCAAGCTCGAAGTCTTCTTGTGTGACGTGCACTCTTCGCTCTCGGAGAGCGTACATGCCTGCTTCCGTACACACACCCTTCAGCTCAGCACCAGAGCACCCGTTCATCTTTTCCGCGATCTTGGTAAGGTTGATACCACGGGTCAGGTTCATCTTGCGGCTGTGAATGCGGAGAATATCCGCTCGGGCCTCGACGCTGGGCGGGGGGAACTCGATCTTTCGGTCGATACGTCCTGGGCGCAGTAGGGCAGGGTCGAGAATGTCGAGACGATTGGTGGCCATGATGACCTTGATGTTCTTAGTGGGTTCGAAACCATCGAGCTGGTTCAGCAACTCAAGCATAGTTCGCTGGACTTCAGAGTCTCCTCCTGAAGAGCCCTCCACTCGTGAGGAACCAATACTGTCAATTTCGTCCATGAAGATGATGGATGGGGCGTGCTCTCGAGCCATGACGAAGAGCTCTCGCACCATTCGACTACCCTCACCAATGTACTTCTGGACCAGTTCGGAACCTGACACTCGGATGAATTTACAGGCAGTGTGGTGAGCAACAGCTCGTGCCAGTAGTGTCTTTCCAGTACCAGGGGGACCGTATAGCAGGACACCCTTGGGTTGTGCAATTCCAAGAGACTCGAAGAGTTCGGGGTGCTTAAGACCAAGTTCGATAACTTCCTTGATCTCCTTGATCTGCTGGTCCAAACCACCAATCATGTCGTATGTGCTGTCGGGAACCTTCTCCACCATCATGAGAGAGACGAGAGGATCGACGGAGGAGGGGAGCATCTTCTCAAGTTTGTAGCTATCGGACAGGAGGGTGACTCGCTTTCCTGGTGTGAGCTTGCCGATATCAACACTATCCGACACGTCGACCACTGAAGAAACGTTAGTATTTAGCAATCAAAGCTAGAAAACCTGGGTGAGCATACCATATTTGCCCTCCGGGTGGACTTTGACCAAAATCTTCTTGGTGCTCATGACCTTGACGACTTCTCCGACATAGGAACCAGGCTGTTGCAACAGACCCAGCTCTTCCCTCAACAATCGCACGCGGGAGTTGTAGTCATTTCTCTGAGCTTCGAGACGGCGAAGCGCGGCTTGTCCCTTAAGGATCTCAAGCTTCATAGCCTCGATCTTGTTGTGGTAGTACTCGTCGAGCGCCATCTTTGGCGAAACTCCCTTGACGTCAGGGAAACGAGCTGATAAATATTGTTCGGGAGTGTAGATATGTAAGACTTGGCACGAATTGCCAGATTCGCGGGTTCGGGGTGGAGGCGGATATAGTGATGCGTGTCGAGGATTGGGTGTGTTGGCGATAGTTTGCGATGTGGTTGAAGCTCGATGACAAGGCTACAGCTTGTCTCGTAATCCTCCAGAGCGGATGAGCGCACGGGCCAGGCAGATGGGAGCAGCCCTCGAAGGTCGGCGTTATGTTGTGCCGTCGTCCGGGCGACTACAAGTGTAGGGTAAGTTTTAGAGAAGGTTTGGTTGGAACCACTGTGATGGAACCAGCCGGAAATTACATATCGCGAGTTCTTCAACGGCGTGCAGAATTAAGATTATGGGCTGTGGCAGCCGAGAATGGTTCCATTTGCATATCGAGTTTCTGTGTGAAGTGTTGAGTTTTTCAAGGACCGTTTCATTGTGTCAAGTTCTCAAACCGTCCACGACATCGTCAAGTGTACAGACTCATGGCTGCCACTGATAGTGGAACTCCACCATCCACAGCGCCCTCTGCCGCGTTACCCCCACTGAGACACACTAGACCGCTTAGGAGTTGATGCAAGGCTCATGGAAGCTGACATCCATGACATCGGCTGTTAAGGTATCAAGATATGGTTTAGGGAAGAAGATGGATCAGCACCCGGCTAAAGCGGATGAGTATCTTCTCTTGGCCCATGATCATCCTCGAGATTCTTAGAAATTCGGACATCTCATCGATTATCTTCGGTGACCGTGCCCCTCTGTTGATCAAGGTCAACTGTCGTGCAAAGAGCCGCCTGTCTGCTACCAACCAAGACCCTGGGGATGCATAATGACGTCGAATCATTGGACGAGGTTGAACACGCGCAAGGTGCGATAAGACACACTAAGCTGTCATGGGGAAGGTTGGTTGATCACGAGCTGCGAGCTTGGCTAAGGTGGACCAGGCAAAAGGAGCTAGACTAGGGGCTGATTCCGTTGATGTCGATGGTCTAGCTTGTTTATCGTCTTATGTACATATCCAGAGTCGATTTGTGAGAGTGCTCCATCGATTTTGAGTTGGATACGGCTACAGTAGGTAGACCACAGTAAACTTTCTTTGTGTTCAGCTAAAGGAACCTGAAAACTCATTCCTTCTTCCCCCATAAAATAACAAGAGTCAATTGTGAGCCTTCACGGATTATTTGGCACTCTCTGCCTTGATTCCTTCTTTGCGCAGTCTATTGCGCTTTCTTGGAAAGCTCACTGCAGCTCGAGTAACATCATTTTACCAGAGACTTACTTGCTTGCTCGGGAACTCCGTCCATCTCTTTTCCCTCATCAACTCTCTGTCTCCCTCTCTCCCTCTCTCTTAACCTTTGCCCAGAAAAGAAACAAATTCCAGCTCGTCTCAGTTGTGCTCATCTCAATTTTCAATCCCAACTGAGCACAGTCCAGTTCAGTCCTAGGAGCCTGCCCCGCTGCCCAATCCTTCGTCTCATCGCGATTCTTGCTTGCTTGGGCCGTTTTGATCATCGCGTCGCATCGTCTGTACGACTTTCTCGGCGCTGCATCGTGACATTGGCATGCTCGGCATTCCCTCTTTTTTCTCAAGTATAGAGATAGGTACAGCTTACGTCTGGTCGCATTTGTGAGCTTCTGTCTTATTTATTGTCTTCTCTTGTTTGTTCACCTTTTTGCATCAACCATAAGTTTCTTGTGATAAAAATCGCCTGTTACTCGACTGTTGATTGCAGTACCACTGTTCCACTATGGATCCCTCGAGACGGGAGAGCTCGTCGACTGGGCATCAACTTGGCGACTCGTCTGGCAATGCATCTCCATCGGATACGCGTCATCCACTTGCCCAGGCCGAATCTGCCGTTCTTCGCGAAGCAGAGGCCTTGTCAGAAAGCTTCCAGTCCACTGACACTGTGCGGCGGAGACCAGAGGGTTATGGTAGGTTCCATGCTCTATGCCTTTTCTTGGCGAGAGACCGGGGTTAATTTTAAATCTTCCTAGGCTCGATAAGCGGTGCTGCTTCAGGTTCAGCTCAACAATCAAAAGAGACATCCCAAGAGCGCAGCTCGGCTCGTGCTACTCAACCTTCACGTCCTGCGAGAGGCCCGGAGAGAATGCGATCCGCTACTCGACTACGAAAGCCACCAATGCCTCGACGCCCATCCTCGAACACGCCTTATCGCGGCGGTGTTTTCTCAGCCGATGACGATGTACACGAGGTAGAGGCCGATGCCGCCGAACGTCAACAATCATATCGTCGACGACCTCAGCTCTCAACCCAACTCTCTCGAGTTCAATCGCACACGAACGAAGATGATGAAAATGACGATACCAACGACGATAATGACGAATCGACCGAGAGCCCTGCTGAAGCACAAGGGGACGAAGAAGAGACTACTCCAGTCGAGGGCCAGGACGACTCAGATAGCGACGTCAGTGAAGCCGAGAGTTTCACCCTCAAGGATAGACAGCAGGCCATCAACCAGACTCACCCCTTCGGTATTCGTGTATGGAAGCCAGCATTGTACAAGAAGGATCGTTCAATTCAGAAGTTTGCACAAGCAGACATTCATTCAGCGCCTGGTGGAAGAGTGAGCAGCTGGCTTCTCGCGTTCAATCTGCTCTGGACCCTTCTGTTTGGTTGGTGGTTGGCTTCATTTGCAGCTATTGGCGCCATCGTATGCCTGCTCTTTTCTGCTGCTCCTAGTGGGAGAGAGTATGGAAGAGTTCTTTGGGGTCTTGCAGGATATCTGTTTTACCCCTTTGGCAAGTTTGTCCGTCTGGAAAAGGACGAGACCTATATGGACGAGGATCAAGATGAAGGACGCAGTATTTCTGAATATGAGCAATGGCAAAGCGGAGACCTCGAGTACGGCCGATTGTTCTTTGGACCTGATCGCAATCGCTCAATTGTCGGCCGTTCGAGAAGAAGTATCGATTCTGAGCCCAGCGAGACAGAGAGCTTGCTTGGACGTGGCCGACGCGGTGAACCCTCAGAGCTCCCTCCCCGATTCAAGAGACGACTTTTTGGACGTGGCCAGTGGAATATTGGCCGTGTCATCTTCTTCATCTTCTTCTACTGTCTCATTTCGCCTTTGCTTCTCCTTGTATCCGGTATTTGCTGGTTCTTGGTTTTTTGGATCCCCATGGGCAAGGCTACATTCTTGTTGTTTGACCATCTTCGACGACATCCCCTGGCTTTGTCTTTTGAGACCGATATTAGATATATCCGTGAGGATGATGGCCCGAGCTCTTCAGTGCTCCTCTGCACATACCGTGCTGTAGGAACTCGATACTGGAAGTACACTGTTGATGGTACCAACATCTTCCTCATCAACCTCATGGTTGTCGTCATCTTTGTTATCGCCGATTGGATTGTCCTTGAGAGCATCTTCCATGTTGAAGGATTCATTACATCTCCCGCCTTCCTCTTCTGTGCTGGACTCCTGTCTATCATCCCTCTGGCCTACTTTATTGGGCAAGCTGTTGCATCTATCTCGGCCCAGTCTTCGATGGGTGTGGGTGCCGCCATCAACGCTTTCTTCGCCACTGTTGTCGAAGTGTTCCTCTACTGTGTTGCTCTTAGTCAAGGCAAGGGACAGCTCGTTGAGGGAAGTATCGTTGGAAGTATTTTCGCAGGTATCCTGTTCTTGCCAGGCATTTCCATGTGCTTCGGTGCTATTAAGCGAAAGACACAGCGCTTCAATGCCAGGTCTGCCGGTGTGACATCGACCATGTTGCTGTTTGCTATTGTTGGCGCCTTTGGCCCTACCCTGTTTTATCAGATTTACGGAACCCACGAGCTCAACTGCATGGACTGCGAAGACTACAACACCGGCGAAAATAGAGACTGTCGTCGCTGCTACTTCAGCCAATCTCCTTCACTCAGTGACAGATTCTATTTAGAGGCTGTTCGACCTTACTGTTACATGGCAGCGGCCATGTTGTTCTTCTCATACTTGATTGGTCTATGGTTCACTCTCCGAACTCACGCTGCTGTCATCTGGAACGCCGAGGTCGATGAGAAGCGACACGAAGAGCATATGCATTCATCCAGTCTTCGCACTTCTCAAGTTCACAGCCATCCTCATACTCACTCTCAAAACACCGCCGAGACCAGTAGTGCTGATGTTCGCGATTCTCAACTTTACAAGCGTATTCTGGGCCAGTCTCTTAAGCAGTCTGGCTACACAGAAGACCTTTCTCGCCAGAGCTCTACAACCGGACAGGCTGCCCCTGCCAATGGCTCAGCTTCGACGCCCCATGTTGTGCCTCCTAAATCCAGCGGTGGTGAGCAGTCTCGCTCTGCTCTTCATGTTCCTGGCTTGAGCGATGCCGACAACAAGATCCTCCAACGTGAGGTAACAGAGATTGCTGCCGCGGCTGCAACGATTGCATCCCGCGAACGTATGTCGCGAAAGCCGTCAACTGTACCCCCTACCCACGCTCCCGGCGCTCGTCCTTCCGCGAGCCGTCAACACACCCACACGCATGCCGAGACTGAGGGCCCTGCTACCGAAGCTCACCAAGCACATGGCGGCCATGACGCGCCCAACTGGAGTCGTGCCAAGAGTTCCATCATCCTTCTTGGAGCAACTGTTTTATATGCAATTATTGCTGAAATTCTGGTTGATACTGTGGATGTTGTTTTGGAAAGCTTCTCGATTGATCAAAAGTTCCTTGGTATCACTTTGTTCGCCCTTGTTCCCAACACTACCGAGTTTTTGGTAAGTAGTTTTGTTCCCTATTTGACTGATAATTGCTAACCAACCCCAGAACGCTATCTCTTTTGCTATGAATGGAAACATCGCCCTTTCCATGGAGATTGGTTCGGCTTACGCTTTGCAAGTGTGTCTGCTCCAGATTCCTGCGCTCGTCTTCTATTCGGCCTTTTGGCCAGGTGTTCCTGAGGGTGGTGATCCGGCGCTGTATACTTTCTCGCTTCTCTTCCCCCAGTGGGATCTTGTCACTGTCATTCTGTGCGTGTTCTTGTTGAGCTACATGTACGGTGAAGGAAAGAGTAATTACTTCAAGGGCAGCATTCTCATGTTGACCTACTTGGTTGTCGTCATTGGCTATTACTTCAGTGGATATACGGATGATGCTATGGGCATGGAGCGATTCGACGTCATGGGAGCTGATGGTAAATACCAGAGCTACAAGACAATTGGTAGATCGACGAGGGGTATGGCATTTCCAGCATGAGTTGCTGATTGGTGAGAAAGGGGTTGAGTAGTTGTCTGGGAGAATGTGCATTTACATGGACTGTTAATACTGGACGAACATACACTACATCATACATAGTACATTCGATGAGCCCTTGATTCGAGGGTCTGCATTGTTTGGTGTTTACACTTTGAAGAAGGTTAATTGCTTTTTGGGGGGCCATTGAGTTATGAGCATTGGGAATGCGATGGATTTCATTATGGACTGGTCATTGTAAGGTGTTAACATGTGGATTTAGTCTTTCCTCATCGTTATCATTCTATCACAATAAATTTCAACTCGGGTGACAATGTGATGAAGTCAAGATATGTTACTGATATTGACAAAGGCCTGATATGTATGGCCAGGTAAGATATGTAAAGATACTATGTACAAAGAAGTGACATGCTGCCAGATGTAATATTATATCAACGCCTCATCTCAAACAAGGTGTTTAGTTTAGGCCATGCCGAAGCCAGCGGAGGTCATGACGTTCTTGGCGCTGTTGTAGTCAGAAGCACTGGCGATGGTCTTGCCCTTGAAGTTACTGAGGAAGCCAGTGCTGGTGCCACCGAGAGTACCAGAGCTTCCGAAGCCGTTGAGCTGACAGTTGCGGCCAAGAGAAGCAGCGCAAGGAGAGCCAGAGGTGGGGACACCGAAGAGCTGACCCTGATAACCCTGGGAGTTGACGGGGTACTTGACGTTCTGGAAGATGTTACCCTCAGCAAGGACAGAACCAGAGTCGATCTCGAAAGCGTGGTCAGGGACGTCGTGGAAGTAGTTGTTGACGGCGTGGAGGAGAGTGTTGCCGGAGACCTTGGGGCCACGGCCGGAAATGCGGTAGACGTAGTTGTTCTTGAAGGTGACGAGATCGTTGGAGCCGGCGAAGTAGAGACCCCAGTAGTGGTAGTTGTTGCAGCTAGCAGACCAGTTAGTGGTGCCATCGATCTTGCTGTTGGAGATGGTAACACGGTTGCAGGCGTTGTTTCCGAGGACGATGTGCTGACGACCGATGAGAGAAGTGGTAACATGGTCGATCCAGACGTTGTCAGTGCTGTCGAGGGTAATGGCATCACCACCCCAGACGTATTGAGGGTTAAGCTCAGTGATGTGAATGTTCTGGATGATGACGTTCTTGGAACCAACGATTCGGAGACCCTTGCCACGGATGACACCCTTGGAGCCAACGCCGATCAGGGACTTGTTGGAACCAACCTTGATACCCAGAATACCGGCCTTGTCATACTTGACGTTGACCTTGGGGGCATTGGGCTGGTAGTTGCCGCACCAGTTGTTCTGGTTGATGGCAGTCTGGCACTTGGATCCAGTTCCCCAGGGGGCACAACCAGTCTCGCTGGCGGTACCCTCGGTGCCGATGAAGTTGATGGTGCGGTCGAGGTAGATGACCCGGGCGGAGGAGTCGCCGAGGTAGGAGACGAGCTCAGCGGCGGTCTTGGGGTAGACGGCGCCAGCGCTGCCACCTCCTGTGGTGGAGGAAGCGAAGCCCTCGGCACGGGTGGGAAGAGCACCGAGGACGGAGGGGAGGGCGGCGGCGACCGCAAAGAGGGTCTTGAAGAGAGAAGGCATGGTGGTTGATATAGGGAGTGACAGTGGCAGTATGTTTGTGTGTAAGTGAAGAAACCAGAGACCCAGCTACTGGTTGAATGAGAAAGAATGAAGGAGAGAATACTGAGAGGTAAGTCAAGGAGAGTGAGATATCGTGAAGTTCATATACTAGCTATCTCAGTCCATCGTGTAAGCCAAGCTAGCCTGACCCTCCACCCTATGGAGTGAGAGTCTTGATAAATTACAGGGTATGATGCTAGCATCGGAAAAGCCCCCTTGGCAAACGGGAATTCGGCGAAGTTGACGATTGATTACAGCCTTATTTCGGGGTGCAATGCTTCATCGAGCCACGGACCCTCCCGGCCCATGTTGCCCTATTCGGAAGCGGTCCGGGATGTGATTCGTGGGAATTCCGGTGATGTTTCGGCGCGGTGGGTTTATCTGTAGAGCCCACACGCCCCCCTTATCCAGTGTTAATATCTCTTTCTAGCCTCGGGGTGTTGTTCTTGGTGGACTTTTTATTTAGATTGTGTTCTCCGTAAAGATAAATGGATATAAGCAAAAGATGGGATGATTCTGATCCCGCGTATTCAGAGTGGAGCGCTTCGGTAGATGAGCGAGCTCCGGATCCGATGCGGTGGTTCAGCCGGCTAAAGGAGAGCCCAAGATGGAAGGTCCTTCATTTATCACTTTGCCAAGGGCTCTAGTATGATTGATTGATTAATTAGTAGATGCAACGTTAAGTCCATGCATATCCGTAATGTCACTATCCGGAAGCATTCTAGAACCTTAGATTTAGCCTCTTTGTGACAGGTACTCTAAACAAAGAGTCTAATCAGCCACTAACTATCTATCGATAGCTTGATCTCAGGTGCTTGACTATTCCATTTTCTTCAGGCACTCCGACTCACTAGCTGCTAGCAGATAAACAGAAACACAAGCAAAGTCCTGTGTTTTCAGCTCGGGCTTCTTCTGGTGAGGTTTTGTTTGACAATCAGGTGGTAAAAGGGATAGGGCGGCACTAGGCCCATGTGGTGATGGGGCTGTTCAAGCGTGGTTTTGTAAAGTAGCTTCGTTCTTAGCTCTGTTGGTTCCTTGACTCGTGAGTGTGTTTCATGTTGATGGTTGTCTTTATCTAAGCTTCGGTGTTTTAGCCGTTTGACTGAACATAAGCTTGTCCTTGGCTAAATTGCCCTGTTCGTCTACCCTTTTTAGTATACAAATGTCTGGTGTCTAATCTGTTAATATCCTCACCATAATATGGACTTATGGCCTGTGAGTTGTTCATTTGACTCTCAGCTAGGTTTTGCTTAAACAATAGAACTGACTTATTGCTCTGGTCGATGAAGCCTCCGTAAGTTATCTCGAACATGGATTAATCTACGTAGTCCAAGATATGGGTATATATTGCGTATTTATGTACCTGAAGCGATGGCATTGCCTCACTACCCTGGTGAACACTACACTCTATCAGAATGTCGTCCTCATCTAAGAATACGAATGACCAACAGCAGGGTGTGCTGCTCAATCTTCCAACTGAGCTTCTACGTGAGATTCTCGGCAAGGATGATCTGAAATGGCAGGACTACTGGAACCTCCGACGTACATCATCTCGCCTATCCCAGCTTGCTGAAGAGCCCATGTACCGGGCAGGAGACTATTGCATCTTTCGAATGGCTTGCTTCCGTGGCGATCTCGATACGCTAGCTATTTGTGCTCAGTATGGTGCCGTGCCGACCAAGCGCATTGAGAAGGGCCTGTCCGATGGTCCTTTGGGTCTCATTAAGCCAGGAAAGGACCTGTACCGAAGAGATAAGGAAGACGAATACCAGGAGTGTTTGCATTGGGATATCTGGGGCGATGGATCTCACGGGCCTGGGGATATTGTTATTCTAGGATTCTACGAAGGTAACTTTTCTGCAGAGAGATTCATCGAGGTTTGGCAGTGGTTGTCGGACCAGGGTTGTGAACTCTTCACGTTCATGACGCTACGCTCCAAGATCCGTATACCCTTTCATGTTTTCTCGTATGCTCTTTGATCTATGCTTCCGACGGCCACTGATGAAGCACAGCACGAAGGGATCTGCGAGGTCATCCAGTTCCTCTACAGCAAGGGCTTGAGAATTCCTCATCCGGACAGGAGACTTTGGATGAGAGGAACCTGGCCAGCTTATTACCCCTTAGCCAGGGAGAATTGCTCAACCATGCTGCAGGCTATGCTACAGACTAACTGTCCACCCTCCATTCTTGAGCTCTACTTGAGACAGGTCAATGATGAGGGTCTCGTTTTCGATTATGGCGTCACATGGCATTCACCCTTCAATGGATTGGGAAGCATTACGCAATTTCTCTCCGTCTTGTTCGATGAAATGTTCGCTCCCTGGATCTACAAGGGTGACACTACCCGTAGTATGAGCGACGATCTCCAAGCAAAGATCTGCTTACTAACTCAACATCAGGGCGCTAATGCTTTTGAGCTGTACGTGCTAGGAGATATTGTTATCGCATTGCGAAAGATTGATGTCAGAAAGGTGAGCCAAGGTGGTCTTGACTTTGACCGTGATGGAGTTTGGTGCTGGTATGAACTCTGCATGGCAGTTGCTTATATCTCTGATGAGGATATTCGGGGGCAAACCGTGGATCTTCACTTCACCACTCCTGGAGACGTAGAGATGATTCATCCATACTTCAGCAGAGCTTGGGCCCCCCACGAACAGCTTGCGAATGCGAGGAGAAAGGTTCTCGAGAAGAGAGCTCTTGTGTCTGGGCAAGACCCTAGGGACATTGAGCCACAAGGACAGGAACCAACCACACGTAATTGGGCCCAAATGCCCCTGGATGCTTGGGATTACATCCCTAGACACGGCATTAACGATAAATTGAAAGGTGGAAGATCGTAAAGTAAACCGGCTGTAGTATTTCCTCCTGAAAATATTAACCAGTAGCCCTAGAGGTAAGATTTTGTGGTAGAATAGATTGAAATAGAAAAAGGTTTACCAAGTATCCTGAAGTTCCACACAGATAAGATCCGAGAATCTGTGAAGTACATGTCAAGACTATCCTTAATTTAACTGAAAACTCAACGGGTCTATTCATCAACATGGTCTAGAGATTGGGCAAGGGGAAGTAAGAAAACTTTAGTCCAGGAGACTTAGGTAAGTTTAGGCAAATTTAGGATAAGCTTAGTAGGACTTAAGACCAGTTTATCAACACCTTGCTTAATTCAATGTCGGAAGTTTTCTTGCTCCCCTTAGTCCTAGCGAACTCTATCTTGAACCTGTCCTTTGTAAGAGATTTCCCCCCTAATATGGAACAATAGCCTGACATTTGCCAGTCCTCCTTTACACTTAAGCTACATCTTAGCTGTGCATTGTGTGATTCGAGTACTTGTTTGTTGTACAATGCCTTTGTCAGAGACCATAGAGCAAAGATCGTGGCCATGTGCACATACATTTCTCTTTGTTTCTTCTCTCCTCCTCACACTTAGTAAAGGCCAAGTGAAATACTGACGCTGGACTTCGATAATTATTGTAGATCAAGTGGTGGATGGCAGTTGACATGGGCCTGTCGACGTGGACTGAAAAGCATCCACAAGCTTGGAGCTTGTCACCTAGAGTAGAGCAGAACGCAACCCCCTCGTGGTATCTTCTGCTAACGGTAGTAGTAATTAGCCACTATCTATGATGTGTTCATAGTTCCAATTGAACTGCATCGATTAAAGCTCAAAAGGATATCCTTGTTTCGGAGAACCCCTGAGTTGCGCTGGTGAGTGACTGTTTGGTATGCGGAGTTCTTAGTAATCTGTTGTATTTATTCTATGAATACCAATGGAACAGAGATAATTGCGAGCCCAGTGGCATTGTTCACAGACAAGTTCAATAGCGTAGTGATGCTTCTGCCTAAGTCTGCTTCTCACTGCCAGTGGACTGCTCTGTGACGGGCTGTGAGATATGAGTACTTATTGAGAGTTGTGGACTACTGATCCAAACACCCCTACCTCTCAAGCAACAGAAGCTTGAGGAATTTTACTCACTGCAAAACCTACAAGAAACTGACATCAACTTTGCACACATCAAACTCCACGCAACAACATGGCGATGACACGCAACATGACCCAAATGCGTCTATTTCGACTGCCTCCTGAAGTCATTTTACTCATAACGGAAGATGATTCTCTTAAGTGGGAAGATCTTCGCAGACTTCGCCATGTATGTTCTTTCTTCTTCCACCATCTGGGTAGGCGAGTTCTCAAGTTTGGAGACTTTTTCTTCTTCCGCAACGCATGCTCGCATGCCAACGTGGATATATTGATCGAGTGTCTGGATGAAAACGCCACTCCAACTAATACCTCTTGGAAAAGTCCTCATCCCTCAGCAGGTGACTATGTAGTCAATGGATTCCGGACTGGGAACGTTTCTGTTGAACAATTCAAGCATACCTGGCAGTGGTTGTCAGACCACGGATTCGAGCTTAGCTACTCGAAAGATGTTACCGGTGATGTTCCCGAACATCATCGCCCTTTCTCTGCGGATCTACTGTACATGGTATGGGATGCCACTGAGGCTAAACATCTTCAAGCAACTTGCGATATCATCCACTTCGTCGTCGATAAGGGTATGATGTTTCCAAGGTATCTGAGCTTCTCGTTCGAGGCAACCGGGGACCCAATATGTAGAGGTTTGATACAATTTATGCTAGCTGCTCATTGCCCGGCTTCCATCTTGAAGCTGTTCTTGAAGCAGCTCCATGGCCAAGGCTTAACCTTGAAGAGTCCCGTCAACAGTCAGATCTATGAGCGTGAAACTACGGAGACCTACACGTTCCTGTGGGAAATGTATAGATACATTTTCGACTCGCTTCCCCCTTGGTCGTCAGGGAATCAGGACACTCCCAGAGTGCTACTAAGGCTAGAGGATCCCAATGGAATAGCAGACAATTTCGGAGACAAGGTCAAGGCGCTGATCGAATACAACTCTGTCGACGATGGCGAAGCACGGGTCTGGACAGATGTTTGGAGAAGTCTTGAGAAGATGGCGCGCAAAAGAATCGAACAAGGCAGCCTCGATTTTGACCAAGACGGGGTCTGGTTTTGGTACGAACTCAACATGTCAATTGCGTATCTCGCTACCGATCGGACAGTCCTTGAAGGTAGGGCTCGCGATAGTCAGGATGACCCTATTCATGTATTCAAAATCCAAAACGAAGGTTGGCACCCCCCAGAAAGATTGGGCTTCATACGAATGCGGTTTGCCGAAGAGAGAGGGACAATTGACCCTTCAAAATTGGAGGACCGAAGTATAGGTGACTGGTGGAACATGCCCCTTTGCGACTGGGACTTTCTTGTCCCAGAACACAAAATTGACTCCAAGGGTTGGCTTGAGCATAGGGCAGCTGAAGATGACATATTGAGAATGAGGGGTGCGTTGGTGGAATGACATACCTTGATATGCGGGCCATGAATGGTATTGTTGGCACTGAGGGGCTCAAGGGGCCGATGGAGACTAGCAAGTTGGGTAGTAGCTTGTGAGATTGTATTGTTATAGGAGTTTGGCTACAGAGAGACAGAGGCAGAGAGAGAGGAACTATATTAGGGAGACCGGGAACTAACAATTCAACATTGTGCCTCACGTCATTGCGTCTACCAAAATTGTATTTGCATTCAAAGATAATTATAAGTACTTGTAGCTGATATCATTCAAGATATCCTATCATAGTCCATGTCGTGCTGATGCTTTGCTCACCTGAACATGTACCTTTGGCTTCTGCATAACTCCTCTTTGAACAGCCCTATGATAATCGCTATATGACAATGATTCACTGTCAAAATAGATACGAGGTTTGTCTTGCCCTTGGGTATATAACCCTCCACTCGTCCTTCTTTGTCGCCTCATCATCCCCCGTCCTTCATCTCTTTGTCTCCTGTCCTCAACCACCCCCAATTTCTGGACAGAAGACCCATATCTAACTCTTCCGCAAGACTAAACAAAATGGAATCGTGCTCAGAGGCAAGCACTCATCACTCAACTTTCTTTTGGACGACCACTGATGGAGATGGCCAGCCTCCAAGAAGGAAGCTCAAAGTATCGCACGACACAAGCAACGAAGAGTCATTCTTGTTGTTCCTGAAATTTGCCTCATCGCATTATACACTGTCATTCAAATCACTCGATTTATTCAGACTATTCCGGGATAACGCGAGGGCATCTGCACTCCCTCGGTCTGGCCCTGGCGAGGCGATGAGAAGCCTTTCGATCGAGCTAGATATGTTCCGTGAAGATCAATTCCTCAAGGCACCAGAGCTAGAGGAATGGAAGGAAATCCGTGGTGCTCATGGGGATGCGCAAGATGCGCTCTGTCATTACCGGAAGTGGTTGGTAGTCGTCATGGGGATTTTGGCGGCTGGGTACAGGCTCCGCGTTACCATCCGGTTTCGAAAGCCATGTCGAAACTATTTAGGTCTTCGCGCCCATTCAGATATTCTACGAGACTTCAACGTCGCCGTGGAGATCGATCTGGACAAAGACTCCTGGAGCCAGATCCCCCAGTCCTACAGACCCCTTCTAATGGCCATGGTTGAGTCTTCCATCACTGGCGCAAAGATGAAGAAGGAGCTCGAGGATCAAAAAGAGGCACTGACGGACCAGGAATTAATGTACCTCGGTCAATATGGGTGTCTGCTGCCCAGTTGTTGGAGCTAGTACACCATCGACAGACTGGAAACACTCTGCAACAGTGAGAGATGAGAACATTGGGATGAAGCACCATATACCAACAGGCTTCAGCTATGGATAAACAGCCTCTATGGTTGAGAGTGGAACACCTTGAAGGACGATAGAGGAAGAATGAATAGTGGAGTTAGGCGGGTCAAGCTATACTGATGGACAATGTCCGTTGGAGCCAAGGGGAGATTGTTGCTAGCTTAGATGGTATGTCCTCAGGGTTGTAAATTGCCTTGACTAGTAATGCTACATTTCAAGGCACTTTGGAGATAGCACCAAGCGATCGTCTAACGAGAACATACTTATTAAAAGTCACCTGAATTCCTCCAAATTACTGAAAAGCTAGTGTTTGCCCCAATCGTCTATTTGTGTCACTTAACTCGCCGCGCTTCCATCATTAGAACACGTCCCGGTCGTTTGCTGTCCTTGAGGTATGTTTTTGCGATATGAAACTAACTAACACAGAGACGTATTTCTTGTGTTTAATGTTAGCGAAGTCACGTTCTTGAATATGTAACATGTGAAACTGATATGATGCCTACTCTCCTTGTTCTTAGTCTGAACAGAAGACTGCAGAAAGAAGCGAACAAGACTTACACCGCCTTAGTTCCAAATATTTCTCACTTTCTGTCTCGGATAGTAAATATAGGCCCAATATTGCACCTAGGTAGTCTGGTTAGGTCTCGTAACAGATCATTTGCCATTATCCTTACTCCCTTGCCTCAAACCAAGTTCTAAAGAACACAATGAATCCGTGCGAGGGCAATGCACAGTAGTCTTTGATTCTCTTGGGTATTGAGTAACCACATGAAATGTTCAGAAGTCAGAGATGAACGGAAACTGGCTGTTCGTTAACAAGACATCAGTATAAAATAAGACCTTGGGGCATGAGTAACAACATTCAGGGCACTTGAGCAAACACTACAGCCGAAACAACCCATCAAACTCCATCAGCAACGACGACTAAATGTCTCTTACTGAAAGAAAGAACAAGTCTCAAAAGGTTGGTCTACTTGATCTACCCAATGAACTTCTCTTTTCCATCATTGAAGATGAGGATATGTGTTGGAGGGATCATCTCAGAATTCACCAGGTATCGTCTCGACTCTTTCAGTTGACTTTCAAGCATGTTTACGACGGGGAGCGAGATATCTTTCTACACGCTTGCTCTTCCGCCAATCTTGATCTTATGATTGAGTGTCTCAAACACCGCAACGTTCCCACCAGTCATGTTTGGCACCAGCACGAATGGTGCCTCACTCCGCTTGATATCCTTTCGTTTGCCTTTCAGGATGGGGATTGCTCGTCTGGTCAGTACATCAAAGTAGCTGGGTGGCTATTTGATAACGGATATAAGACGGATCAAATCGTATCCAGCAAGGATGGAATGATAACTTCTCGTGTTGTCTCTCCCCTTTTGCTGACTATGTTCTCAACTGCGACAGATACGGATGACCATCGCGGCATCTGCCAGGCAATTGAGTTTCTTACTAGCAAGGGCCTGGGATTTCCGGGTTCGTCTCAAATGCTAAAAAGGGTGTCCCACAGAAAGATGGGCGACCGCCGTTCAGGATACCGGGCATTTGCGCGTGATTCCGGCAGCGATATGGAAATGATCTTGCAGTCGGCTTTCCCGCCAGCTCTGTTCGATCTTTTCCTCAAGAACTTGTTCTCTGATTTTGGACTGACTCTCCAGTCTCGTCTTGCTCCTAACCATCTTCGAGACGACGTCTCCCCTTGCGAACAGACAAGACTCAACGATCTGGTCCGAATCCTTTTCGATGACCTATTTGCCCCCTGGATATACAAAGGAGATAGCCCCAGTTACTTTTCCGATACCTTTGAGGCTAAGATAAAGTTGCTGGTAAAAAATGACGGCATTGCTGCCTATGAGCAGCCGGCACTCGAAAGCATCCTTGAAGCTCTACGCAGAATCGAAGCAAGGCAGAGAGACAATAATGGCAGTCTCAACTTTGAACGTGACGGTACATGGTGCTGGCGCGAGCTTTGCGTCTCCATCAGCCAGACCCTGGTACCAGATCACAGGCAGTACTGGATTCGACATTCTCTGGAGGACCCGCCACGAGAAATTCACTTCGGCGTCGAGAGACGTGTTCATGAGTTCGTACGCCCTAGATCATGGTATCCCCCTGACGATTTGATCGCCGTGAGGTCGACTCTTCTAGGTCGACCTCTTCTAGGAGATGCTCACGATAAGCTCGATCCGTCCTGGCTCGAGGATCGCACCCAACAAGATTGGGTCAACATGCCCTTGGATGCCTGGAACTTCATACGTCTACAAGGGGGCTCGGGGGGCTCACGTCGAAGAATCGTGCGACGAAGATTGAACTGAAAGCGAGGCAGACGACTAGTGTATAGAGCTATCTTCAAGGATTTTGTAACACGTTTTAGCTAAGTTTATAGAGGTAGGTGGACTTAGAATCGTGGACTGGGGCGTTAATCTGTGTTATCATTAGAAAAAAAAAAAAACTCTTTGCTTCGTACCTAGACCCGTAAAGATGTACATTGAACTATTGCTGCTGTTCGGACCAGAAACTCATGTCTATCAAATCCATAGCGTAGCCTAAGAACACGCTGTGGCTGGAAACCGGGTGTATCAAGAGTGTTTGGAACACCAGGTACTCAATAATGACAAAGGATGGGCATTTCATTCAGATAGGGGTACCGTAATTGTTCTAGATAGTACTAGAAGTGTAAGAAGATCTGTGCTCCATGTCTTCAATAACTCCAACCATGCATACATGATCAATCCCGAATGTCTGCTAATATCCCCTTGGATGGACCCATGAGAAACGTAGTGTCGATGATACATCAATCAGCAAACGCCTATGTGAGCTCTTATACCGCTCGTGCCCCTTTCTATTACCCCAGACTACTGATCCGCAGAGTCTTTGCCTAACTTCCGCCGCTTTATATGGAGCTTGTCTTCACAGTGGGAGACAATGGAACGTGCCCCCTTCAAATGACTCTGCATCTGAGCGCTGTTGACCATAACAGGCAGCTGATGTGCCCAATGACAGTGTTGACTTTCAAGTTATTTGCCAATATCCCAACACAAGAGCGTGCTAGGTATCGAGAGTACTCTTGGAGAAGAACATAATCCGACTCATAGCTATCAGAGGCGAAAAGTTCAGCCTGGATGTCAACTTCAGGGTGCTCATCTTCCATTAACTCGATGAACCACTTCTTGGAGAGTTTCAGCATATAGAGAGTCGTATGAGTAAGGTTTTCTTTTTCCCTGTCTGTTTCCCGAGTTCTTCGGATGTCAGACTGTTTTGGGCTGCAGCGAAACGTCAGCAAATTCAAGGCATAGCAGAAGAACAAGCAAGGGGATATAATAAAACTTAGGGCCTCTATCCTAAATGATAAAAAGCCTTAGGTAAGTTTAGGTAAGTTTAGTATGATTTAGTATAGATTTAGAGGATCTTAGATTAAATATTTCTATTTCAGAAGTCTCCAGGACTCAATGTCATGTACCTAGCTCCAACAGCATTTGGGTGATATGCGTATTGCCGGGCCTTCACAAGCCAACTCCAGGACTCCCCATTCTTGGCGATTCTACTTGTATGGTACCTAGTTGTGCATGCATTCTTCCGCTTTCTGAAAATCTGGGTCAGATTCCACTCCGAATTCCCAAGGTATGTCGATCCTGTGAATGCGTGGTAGTGGTAGGAGCTGATTGTTGGCAGGCCGACGAACCGTGGCAGCGTCCAATAATTGTATGAGTCTTGTCATGAAACGGCCCGTAGGCACGTCATTTGTCTGGTGTGGTCCATCGTTTGCGAATACAGCCCGCATGGCCCCAAGAGTATGGATCTGGTGTCCACGGAGGAGAGACAGCAGCGCAAAGCTGTCAAGCCAAGTGTTGTCGATCGGTGTCCCAGACATCATGATACAACTTTCAAACCTACCTCGGAGGTTGAATATAGCTCTGTATGGTCGGCTGTGCATGTTTTTGATGGCATGGACCTCGTTTAGTATCAGAACTGGACCAAGAGGCTTGGTCTCTGGTAACTCAAAGATACCGGATAAGAGACAAAGGTTTGGTCGTGCGGGATAGTCGCTGGGTTGGATTGATTCTGAGCGAGCAGCTTTGAGCAGAGAGTAGTAGTTCTGAATGCGACCAAGTTCTGCTGACACTTGGTGGTATGAAGTGATGATAACCTTATATTTATAAAGCTGGGCCGGGGATACCTGCTCACCAGTAAGCAGGAGAGCTGGGAGGAAGTCCTGTAATATGGTGTTAGACCCTAACGTATAAAAACATGATAGCAGTAGCACTTACGTCTTCGAAGTACTTCTGGATCTCAGCCATCCACTGGCGACAACAGGACAACGGGGCGACGAGCACACATGTCCCTTGTCCAAGAGCAGACTTCATGGCTATAATGGAAAGCGCCGAGAGAGTTTTGCCGAGCCCGGGGGGTCTACGATGATCATGCCTTTGAAGATAAACTTCATTGACCACAGCGCCTTTGATACCGCATACTGTTGGTGTAGCTTGAGAGTGATCTCGGGTCTGAGGCCCGGGACTCTATCGACTGGTTGGAGGCGATGTTTGGCTGACAGTTTTCATGGCGTCAGAGACTTTGAATGGACGTTTGATGGGGTTACAGGTACTTACAACGACAGGATGCAATGCATCAAGCCACTGAACGGCTGCGTCCTGGCAAACACCAGGGTCGGAGTCGCTATCCGAAAACTCACTTTCAGAGTCGAGGTCCAGATCAAATTCGCCGTCGGAGTCGTTTGTCGAACATCTTTCCCCTTCGCCGCCTTCGTCGCCATCATCATCTTCATCGTCATCTTCGTAGTCGAGGTTCGCCTCTTCGTCGAGGTTCGCCTCTTCGTCGAGGTTCGCCTCTTCGTCGAGGTGTTTCTCGACTCGTTTGCGAATGACTGTCTCTGGATTCTGAAGCCATCCACTTCCTCCTACGAGTGCATCGGTAAGATCCTTCATTGAAGGAAATGCCTCGGTTGCTTGGTTCACCACTTCTGCAGTATGTGCTTTCTGTGCGGCACTCAGGCTGGCAAAGAAGGATGATATCTTGGCAAATGTGCGACGTCGATGTCAATGTCGACTAGCTGTAGATAAATATTAGCTTAAGTGGAATTCGTAAGTTGAAGCCGACAACATTAATGCTATGCAACGTACCGATATAGCTATTACGTATAGATTCTCTGTCAGAGAGCAGGAGTTTGCAGTGGGTGAAATTAGATGGTGATGGAGGAGAAAAGGAGGTGAGGTGGAGATGGAGAGTGAAGTCTTTTCTGAAAGCGATCTGGCGGGCGATGATTCATGGTCATTCAATGGAACTCGTGTTTTTTAGCTGTGTTTTCCAGCATTTTAGTGGTATTATCCTAAGTTTAGGGTGTAGGCTGTAAAATATCCATCTCTGCCCTCCACCTTCACATCTCCAAAACATCACATCTCCCTCCACTCAACTTGATTATCACCAAAACAACACACCCACACAGCCGCATATCTGCGATTTATTTACTTATCACGTTGAACAATCCAGATCCTTGAATCTCCAAAGGTTGGTAAAGAATTCTCGATCTTTGGACGATCTATACCATTCTAAGCGCCGTCCAGTGGAAGGAATGGCCATGGGGTACAATCTTAGCTGATCACGGTCTCTCACAGGACATCCAGACCTTGAGCACTTTCTAGCAGAGAAAGAAGTCAGCAAGTGTCACCTGAGCTGATCCAAGTCTTTCAGAAGGTTCCCATTAGTACACCTGCTGCTCAGTAACAGCCAGATCCACAGCATAACACCGGAACCCATCACAGTCTGTCGAGCGCCATTCACCACCACAAACGCTACACAAATCATGGAAGGCCCAACGGAGAACAACGAGGCCCCGCTCTCTCCTATCTCGCAAGATTTCTTGGATCGATGGGATGCAAAGGGGAAGTCGAAGGAGATCTTCGAGCCTCCCCAAGGTGTCTCGCGGAAGACATGGGAAAAGCATGTCAGCCGAGCCGTGGAGAAAGACCGAGCCCAGGGACATGAAAGGTTCCTGGCCAAACAGGCATACTATACTATTGTAGCTCTTAGTCGGGTAAGTCTCTGGCGTACCAATAGTAGACCAAAGTCGAAAAGTACTACAAGGTAAAACATAGTTTTATGTATCGCTGACTTTCCACTAACAACCCATATACAGCGTGTCGGTCTGGATAAAGCCCTTCCGGACTCCATCACGGAGGAAATGCTGGACGAGGACGACAACACCCCGATGAGTGAGGAAGAAGGAGACCATGACGAATACACTGGTCAACACATCAATACCGATACTCCTGCAACCCATGCCCAAGGTGATGAGGCTATCGGGAAGGTCGAAGACGCTGATGATTTCACCACCCACCACACCCACGTTCATGGTGGTGAGGTTACCATGAAGGCTGACGACGATGGTGAGGAGGGTGTCATATGTCTTTGGGAAAGGGGAGAGAAGGAGTAGCACCCGGGATATTTCTCAGAATGGAGCCGTGCTAGGTATGCAGAACCCGGCGCTTGGGGGCGTAAATTCAGACTGACCACTGTCTGCCAAGCGGGATAAATCACATTTCTGAAGGACCAAGTGAATCGCGGAAAGTGAATGATATTGCGAACAGAAATGGTACTCCGAGTTTCTTATTATGTTCTCATAAAGAATTATTTATCTTTTTTATAGCTAATAAAGGATAGGTATTTCCTTGAGGTAGGCACATATAGCTGTTCTAGATAGTAATAGACATATCAGAAGAACTATACTATATATCCTCAATCTACAGAGGCTATTGAGATCGTTGATCTAGTTTACACATTACCATCGGGCCAAAGACTCACCTTATGCTCTGGCATCATTACCGTTATTCTGATTGAAAGAAATGCATAATCAGAGGTTGGGGAGGAAAGACAACTCAGGATCTTGATCCTAAATAACAAAAGACTTATATAATCTAGTATAAGTTTAGGATAGGCTTAGGATAAGCTTAGGATACCTTTACTCGGATCTAATAAACAACCCATAAGACTTGGGGGTGAAAAGACGAAAGCTCCGGCCTACATAATATCACTTATCATAGTCACTGGCACAAGATCAGACTGTTTCTTCCTCAATTAAATATTACTGTGTAGTTAATGTTAAGAACAGCAGTACTAGCTATCCTAGTTTCTCATTATATTCCCGTCAAGACTTGTTTATCTTTTTGATAGACAACAAAGGATGGGCATTTCATTGGGGTAGGGACATGTAGCTGTTCTAGATGCCTTAGTACTAGACATGTGACAAGATCTATGTTCCATGTCTTCAATCTGTAACACCCGTGAGTTGGATTGAAATGTGTGGACTGCCATGGATACGGGCAAGCATGCACATGAACAAGCAGCCCATCAGGTTCAGTGTTGCACAACGCAAACTCCGTCTTCAATAGAGGCTTTTGTCATGTTCAAAGACAAATTGCCGTTGTTCATTATGATTTTAAAGTTAATGTATTGAGCAGTATGCATTCCCTAGTTTCTCAGTCTGTTCCTATTAAACAGTGTTCGCATCTGCAAAATATAAAGTGACACTCATCTGTAATTTCTCCCGAATACTATAGCACAACCACTTCATCACTCCGAGAAACCAGAACCTCATCTTGGTCCTAGAAAGAATTCATCGATATTTCTAAAGACCTCTACATCACCGCAGTCATGTCTTCCCAACAAGACCCAGCCCCTTCCGCTAGCCGCCCTCACCAACCCCAGCGCAGCATTCTTCGAGACCTACCCGAGGAAGTCCAAGTACTCATCGTTGAAAACATCAGCGCAGACGATGACACTAACGTTGAAACTCTTGGGAGTCTGACTCAGACTTGCACTGATCTGTACCGCATCGCCCGCCGCGATTTCTTTCGCGCCAATAACTTCAAAGTCTTCCGGAAGGCGGTTGAATCAGCTGACGTCTCCTTGATGAGTCGGTGCGAGGAGTATGATGCTGCGCCTGTTCACTTGACGTGGTGTGTCGAGCCGTCGATGAAGGAGTATCGACCCATTGACGCCTTGCTCCTCAACCTGGACGAGCGTCTGGATAATGGGCGCAGCGAACAGTTTCAGGATGAAATTCGTGGCAAAGTCTTTGAGTCCCTGAAGTGGCTTCTTGAGAGGGGCGCCGATGCTGAGGCCAACTGGTTCAGTGAATCACTCAAAGATGAGCTGCCTCCGGAGAGAGAGAACATGGGCTTTGGACATATGCCCACCCGACTCCTAAAGCAGCTTCAAGTCAATATTGGCAAGCGCGGAGTTGATGTTTATCTCGACATGATTGAGTTGCTGAGCAGCCATGGATTCCCAAACCCAACCCGAGCCGACGCTCTCGTGGGATTGGTAGCCATGGACAGCGAACCATACCACCAGTCGGCCGTGACTTGGATGACCAAAACGCATTACCCTTTTTGTGACAGAACTATGAGGGCAAAATATTTCGTGAGCTCACCACTGGACCTGTCATTAAAGCCACACATCCCTCCCCGCCTGCTGGAGCTGATGCTGAAGGAGTATGCCAGTCGAGGTATTAAGTTGAGAGATTGGTATGATCGGTGCCCAGACGGCCTTGAAACAACCGCACGAGGGCACTGGAGAAATGGTTGCTGGTGGGAACATCACGGGCTTGTTAACGGGCTTGTCGGGGAACTTCATGCCGCCGTGCACAGCCCAACCCTAACCCATTGGAAGGAATCGTGGCATGGAGAGGTTGCTGACGATTTCCGCCAAAAGGTCAACATCATGGTCAAGTACCAGATGATTGACGAAGAAGAGGAGGCTCTTTTGAGAAGTTTACTTAAAGCTCTCGATTCAATCACGGCTGAGATCGTAGCGGCTGGAGGCTTACGCGATGAACACTTTAAAACATCGTGGATAAAGCTCTGCGATGCGGTGCGGCCGTTCCTCAGCGATGAATATGATCTTTTCTATGATGCTGCTGTTACAAGACCACCTGGCCCAAGACGGGTCCACAAGTTCATAATCGGAGACTGGTGGAATCCGTGGGAGGAGTACTTTGTACAATCTGATGCCTGGAGACGTCTAAAGCTGACCAAGGAGGCTTTGGGCGAGGAGGAGTTCTCTAAGCAGACGCAACGATGCTGGGAGGGCCACTATGACTTTGAAGGGGAATTCCTGCATGGGTATTTTACTTGGGAGGATATGCCCGAATGGGACGAAGTTGATTATGAAGAGTGGCGCCGGTGTTTCTTGAAGACTTTTACTCTCGATCGGATTCTCGCAGGTAATCACTTTTGGATCTCGAAGCATCTGAAGACAGAGCTGGAGAAATGGTGCGAGGCGAATGGAGGGAGCACTGATGATGTATCTCTGGGCTTCAAATGGTGGAAACAGCGCATACCTACGATCAAATCAGAATAGTATCACTGAACATTGCTGGTGTTAGGATGACGGGCGATCGGGGTACTGGGGGTAGTTAGACCAGGGCATTCTCGTTGAAGTTTCGATAACAGAGGACGCCGACGCTGTTGAATTGATTGGATAACAAAGTTTCCATTGAAGCTATCACGAGTGATGATTATCGGTTGAAGTGATGTAACGATCAAGGTTGAGACAAGAGGGCACTAGACTAAAAGCAGCCCCCGTCCCCCACTGAACCATGGCCTTAGTTAGTACTGAGACATCGCTTACGGGAGCGACGGGATCTACTGTACAGCACCTTTTAGCAAACAGAACCAAAAGTACAAGTAACTTTGCGTCTACAGCCCAAGGCTCTAGTTAGTCTAGTCTATTCGAGGATCATTTTGGGTTCCATTGAAGGCAGACGAAGGAGGGGTCGGTTGGGTTTTGTTTGCCTCTAATCTTTCGGTTCCCTTGCCTTGTTGTTACAATCAAGGTTGCTTTTTGCTATACCGACCTTTTGGTTTTTTAGCTCTAGACTCTAGACTCGTTCTTCTTCCCTCTTCTCTTTCTTCTTTCTCCTTTCTTCTTTCTCCTTTCTTCTTTTCTCTTTCTCCTTTCATCATCTATCAGTATTGATTTGACTCTGATATACTCCGTACCCTGTCCCATCTATCTCCACTCTTTACAAACATCCCGTCCCTTGAACCAACAACACACCCACTCACCCCCCCCCCATATCACATCACTCACATAAGAGCACTGACTGTATCAAGTAATCCTATGGATCGCGATATATCATGACAGACCAACAACTCCGAGACACCCCCACTGCTACTGCTACTGCTACTGCTACTGACTCTCCTCCTCCTGCTGCTGCTGCTGCTGCCCCCGCTGCTCCATCTTCCCCCGCTCCTCAGGCTGAGCTCATCCCCGCAGAGGACCCTGAGGTGCGTTGTACCCTACCAAACCTAACCTCCCTCCCTTCCCCTCTTACATAAAACCTGTAGAGTAAAAATCATTGAGAATTAACATGTTGTGTCTTTTTTTTGCCGTGTTTGTAGGATACTTCCGACATTGATCGTTATGAAATTGATTCAGCTCTTGGATCCGATGCGTGAGTTTATTCCACATCTCGTATGTCTCGTTCCGCTCAACTCACATATATATCCCGCTCAGTGCCAGTTTTATGTACCCGGACTCGGTGACGGCGAGCATTCTCGAGTACAGAACCATTCAAGGGAGAACATATCACAGCGATCGCTATGCTCATGAATATGTTATGCCGAATGATGAGCAGCAGCTTCAATCGGTTGACATCACTCATCACTACCTCACCATACTGCTAGATAACAGCCTCTTCTTGGCGCCCATATCGCCTCATGTCCAGAGAGTCCTCGATGTCGGAACTGGTTCCGGAATTTGGGCAATGCAAGTTTCCCTTCCCACACGCCTCAGGTCAATTGACTGACCGTCTTCAGAGACTTTGCAGATGCATATCCAAGCGCTCAAGTCATCGGCTCAGACCTCTCACCCACCCAGCCTGAATGGGTCCCTCCAAACGTGCACTTTGAGATCGCAGACGCAACTCTCACTTGGCCTTGGAAAGACAACTACTTTGACTTTGTCCACATTCGCTACCTCTTTGGAGGAGTCCAAGACTGGCCTGCCCTCTTCCAAGAAGCATATCGCTGCTGTGCACCCGGTGGCTGGGTCCAATCATGCGAGGCTGACATACACTTCTACTCCGATGACGGAACGACGGACAGCGAGCCTGCACTCCAGAAGTGGGCGGATCTGTACGAGAAAGGCGGCGCAGCGACGGGGAGGACTTTTTTTCTTCAGCAGGAGGCGCTGCAGGAGAGGAGTATCACAGAGGCAGGCTTCACCGATGTCAGGATATTTGATTACAAGGTACGACGGCGGATTCGTTTGAGGTGTTACCTGCTAACGATGTTTGGGCTGCAGCTACCCGTCGGTGGATGGACCAGTAATCGGAAGCTTTTTGAGCTGGGCGAGTACGTCAGGTTAACTTTAGAAAACGATCTCGAGGGTATGTATTCGCCATCGTATGTCCTCGCTCGTTCGCTCGCTAACTCGTCGTAGGATACACGCTGTATCTTTGGCATAACGTGCTCAACTGGCCGAGGGAGGAATACCCGCAGTTTCTGGCGGCGATGCGAAAAGCGATCAGTAGTCGGAAGGTTCATGGATACATGATGGTGCGGTACGTTTACGCGCGGAAGCCATGAGGTGACGAGGTATTAACGAATGCGACACGAGTGACGAGAACATTGGGCGGTTGGGCGCGTACATAGAGCGCGAAGATCGTGGGCACATGGGAACGGCGGAGTGTGTGGGTTTGGTTATCTTGGAGTCAAAAGGCGTATTCCGGATATGGCTCTGGGAGAATATTTAATCGGTAGGGCATTCGGGAATAGACATGCATGCACTTGAGCAAGACCTTCGCACATCGACGATTCGTGACGGCGCCGCTCGACAGCGGTTCTTGAACTACCGCGCAAAATTCTCCAGTCACCACAGCAACAGACGTAAACATCACAGCTTCTTCTTTACTCCCAGGGCAAGCCCCAGCAAGCAATGAAAAAGAGAAGGAAGAAAACACGCCTGTCAGACGTCCATCAACACCCACCCCGACCGCGCGCCCGAAGGCAAGACCGCAATCAGGGTCGAGATCATCAAATACAACCATCTCTATACAGCCACCTGCACGAAGCAAGCAAGACCGCCATCCTTGCGGACAGATCGAGAGGACCAAAGTATTCACTCTAGGGTGTCGAGGATATACACTCATCAACCAGGGTGGGATCTGTGGCTCTTTTAGGGAACCAAGAGAAGGTCGAATACTATAGAAATGATTCTCTGAAGTATTGTCGACATGAAGAAGAAAAGAAGAAAAAAGTCCAAAAGGTCGGAGGGAAGGCGCGCTTTTATAGAGAGCCTGTGGGGCGCGGGATCACTCTCGCTTCACCGCCTAAAAGTTGCGGGCAGAATTATTTTTTTTGAGCCTCAGGGTTTTGAGAAATGTGGAGGTTCTGATTGGCTGATGGGATTGGGATTGGGGATCCACTGCAAACGACTTTGAGCTGCGCAGCGAATCACAGCAAGGAAGGAGTGGATGGTGCAGTGATTTTTTTCTGCGCGATGCGAGAGCGTCGATTTTTTGAAGTGGATCACTTTGGAGGTTTACGCCGAAATTGAGATCAAATGTGGAAGCAAAAGCGACTGCATGAATCATTGCGCCGAGATAGGGGGCTGTGCTTGACTCTGTGATGCTCTCGAGACTGCAGTAGTGAACGGATTTCGGAGTTGAGATTGTGTACCTAGTGCTATCTAGATTTGAATATTGTACTTCATGTGCAATACTGCCTTGATGTATATACGGGATGGTGAAATGTGAAGTCCTTTCTCATGCAGGCGCATTCATTGTCGCTGCGCGCTGAGTGCATCGTCTTGTTCGCTACTTGTGCCCACGAACATTCTTGTCCTGGGATATAACTACATGATCTGTCGAATACTGAACTAGGTGTCACTTGGTCGTGGAATATCTACAGGAATAAATCCATCTACTTGGGTCAGGTTCTCGTAGTCATTGTTGAATCGCGATGCAGGATATTGTGAAATGACTTCTGTTTTTGTCCCCTCTACCCTGCAGTGCCTGTGTTTGGGAGAAACGCTCAGGTTACGAAACATCAACACTGTGAGCATAAAATTTGCAACAAGTGCTCATGAGTTGCTTGGTGTACCTGTAAAACTTCTCTTCCTCTTGTAAGATCGCACAGCGGCTATATCGAATATCACAAAATAACACTACAAACTCGCTTCGTGATCTCTGTACAAAGCCTCCCTCTCAATCCACCCTCTAACCTCCTCCCCAACCAGCCCATCCAAACTCCCCTCACCACTCTTCACAACTTCTCTCACCCGCGAGCTACTCACATCACCATCGCCTTCCCTTCCCTCAACCATTTCCACCCTCTCAACCCAAGCTTCATCACCTCCAACATCCCTCACCCTCTCCTTCGTCAACCACGCCCTCTGCTCATCGACCCCTCCCCACGTCTCATCCGGCCTTGTCGTGACTCTCAACTTGCACTTATCGAAGAACGGCCTCAGCGCGCTTTGGATGCCCTCGTTGTAGTACTTTGGATTGAAAATGCGGACTATCGTGTCAAACCCTGCGAGGAAGGTCTGTATCGGTTGACCTCCGTCTTGTGTAGCATAAAACCCCGATTCTGATATGGCTTTCGCCTTATCATGAAAGAAAGGCATCGTCGTAACAGCGACATCGATCTCTACACCCTCATCAAGCAGTTCCCGTCCCATCGCCTCCATCATACTCAATCTGATAGGAAAACTCGCCGGCTTCGGCGCCTTATCAGCATTGTTCACCGACAACAGTAACATAAGCCTCTTCTCCCCTTCCAACCTCAACGCAGAGCGTGCCATGCTTGCGTGCGCTAACGTTGGTGGATTGAAGCTTGAGTCAAGAATCACAAGATTCTGTAGTGGGCGGGTTGGTCGGCGCGGCGCGGGGACATTGGAAGTGTGGGGTAGAGTGCAGAGGATGCGGAATGAGTCTTGCGATGATTGGAACGATGTGAGGGCGCGAGAGAACGACGCGACGAGTGATCGAGCTTCTATTAAAGGCATTTTGGAGTTTGGTGAGTTTTTGGTGCTCATTGTGTGGTGATATGAGGGACGAGGTTGTAAGTTGTGAGGTCAAGCAGTGCATCAACGTGGGGCAGCGATCGACTGGGGTGAACCAGAAATAGCTGTAAAGACGGGCTTGACTTTTGGATGGTTCAAAACGTCTTTGTCACTTTGCCACTCTGGATTTCCTTTCACAGTTCCGGATTCTCGAATTAATACAGCAGGAACCAGGTTCGTCGAGTTCGGTTCTATGAGAACCATGACAAGATCACCCTCATCGTCGTCGCGTTGGCCCGACGAGCCACTATTGCAAGTGTCACCAGGGGCTAGGGTGCTATCCCAATCACCTTAGCTACGGTGCCAGCTCGGAAGCGGTGATTCGCTTGTTGTGGTCCAGTTCGAGGAGCCGCAACAGAACCTGGACACGGTCATCGCCAGGATTTCGCCAATCCAACTCGTGTTACGTGGGTGGCCAAGCGGCTTTCTCTTCTTCTTGGCTGGAAAGGATTGACGTTACCCAGTGTATCTCGGGTACTGGTTCATGAAGAGTCTGAAAAGTGCCACTTGGATTCTTGTCGATAAGGACTTTGGTGTTCTTGGCGGAGGTGCCCCCTCTGGCCCGGTAGTCGATGGTGATGTACATCAAAATGAGGGTCTGGTTGAGGTCCTCGAGAGTGAACCTCTTGCGCATCGCAGGGGTCTATATAGGGCCGGTCCAGAAAACAAGTTAAAAATCCTTAATCTCCTTTGTCCTTGTGATAGTGATTTTGCTCATGGACCTATAGCCGCGATTTGGTGTTTATTCAGGTAGCTTAGGAAAATATTAGTAGTCAAGTTATTAATATATAGAAGTATCCTGTAGTAACTTACGGCTATAGACGAGGTTTGTTGGGTCTACTTTTCGGTTTGCTCAGCGCTGGAGGCTTTCGCCTTTTCAGCCTCAAGCTGCTCTCCGTCGCGATCATGTCGTTCATGATCACGATAGGGGCTTGTCTTGGGCAGTGTTTCATGACGGCCTTGATCAGATTTCAGAGCCTGGCAGACTCGACATACCGCCCATAATGTGAATAGTGCTGCTTTCATGACCGGATATCTTTCTTCTTCCCTAAGATGCCCTAACCTTTTGAAATGGTCTAGTGGACATTCCAGCAAGTCGAACATATCTTGGCTTGTGAATTCGGGGCTCTGGTAGTAGCCTTCGATCGTCTCGGTCATCTTTGACCCCATGTCTTGTGGCTTTATATGGAATTTCTCTTGTGCTATGTTAGTTAGTGTACACAGTGATATGCATGCAAAATCAGTAGGATCGATGCCAATTTCCATACATGCCTTTCCAACTTGATAGACGTTGAGTCTGTCTAACTTCCGTTTAGGGTTATAGACATTTTTAGTCTATATCTGATACCGAATCACAGGCATGTGTGCATGTGAGGGTATTTGGATAAACACCGAGACCCACCTTAGAATTGATCGTCTCGGTGTTTATCCAAATACCCTCACATGCACACATGCCTGTGATTCGGTATCAATATCTTACTTATTTATACTACCTATTCTCTGTTCTTAAGACTTATACAAAAGTCTATCAGAATGGTCTAGGAGTGTGTTCAGTTGAGTATCTCCGGATATATACTCAATAACTGTGTTTGCTTGCCTTTGTTGTTGAGGTTTGAGTTTGCTTCGGAGAAGAAGAAGAGCAAGGAGAATTTAGAGGTGAGTGTATGTTATACTTAAGCCAAAGGCGGCTCCCCAGATTCTGCGGTGTCACTCTGATCCATCTGCCAAGACTGGGGAGCGTCTTAATTCCGCATTCCTTTTATCAGTTTCGAAACCTGCTTTACCACGGACAATTAACTGTTCGAAAAGCCCCGGAACATTTGCTAGGAATCGCATGAGTACTTCGGCCAGCGCTGACTGAGTGCCTGCGAAGGCCAGCTTGTAGAAGAGATATATCCTTATCTGTCCTTCAAGGACTTTGCATACCAGGGAACAGCTCTTCAGGTCTTGCACCTGAAGATGCCTTCTGACCTTCCCCAAAATCTCCAGAGGGAGAGAGGCCAGTGATGGCATGCTGCTTTTGTTGGAACTTACAGATGAAACAGGCCAGGAGTGTCTTAAAGAGGGGTTTTTGTCCGAGGACAAGATCAGGTATGCCGGTATATAAGGGATATAAGGTGGCGATACTCTGTTGTGAACCCATTCTTGGTAATGGCAGCCTTTATACTGTCCCGATCGATGGAGCCCTGGTTGCCGATCGCACTGGTACCGCTAGTCTGGTGGGAGGTCTGTTACGTCCTGGGCGAGCTTTCTCAGCGGTCGGCTTGGATACTTCAAGGCGCGGACATACATATATCTCAACACTTGATCGAGCTTGTTCTAGGTGCCACATTATTTGCAGACTATCCGTGATGGGACGTTCGGCTTCGGGGGTGTCAAGTGCATCCAGGCCATTGACCTCCCGATTCTCGTTCTGGTTTTCGAAAGCTTCAGCTTACTATTTGAGGAATTATTCGTTTCAAGTACCAAGTATACATATTCTGGAACTCAATAAATGCATAAGACTCTGGTCCTGTACAGCGCTAAGACCAGAGAGTTCCACTTCTATATATACAAAACCAGGGTTATAGTAGCTAGGGAATTTAAAGTCCTTCGCTACCGCCTTCGTCTTTCGACCCAAGAGATTCCGAGTCAAGTCTCAACAAGTCAACAGGCTGCAAAACATGCCGATCGATCTGTTTAGGTCTTCGAGTGAATACGAGCCCATAACGATTCGCTTCATATCCCCTGCCTCGATGGGGGTCGGGAAGCGTTTAAAGCTTATATTTAGAATTTCCTTCTGCGAATATCTCCTCGGAAGGAACTTTGATGTTTATTGAGATGGAGATGGACGGAGCCTTGTCGTCTCCATGAAGGGCTTGGATATCCTTCTTCAACTGTTTTGTGAACAGTCGAACGATTGTTAGGTATAAGGCACGGTATACGGGATCGGTCTCGAAGAGGAATCGTGCAATTCATAAAAAGGACGACCGAGGGCACACAATAGCCTTGTGTACCTTGTGCGTGTCCTCTCCACAGGTGATGATGAGGTCGGAACAGCAGACCATCATATCCCGTGGGGTCTGGTAAAGTTCCAGTCGCCCTTTCTCCGGACCTTGGTCTTGTGCTCGATGCCATGGAGGTCTGCCATGACGCCCCAGGTGTATCGGTTACAAATAGCAACCGGTCGGAGGGGAGCAGCAACGCCATATTATATGATATGCCCCGGCAACGCTGTGAGCGTTCTGGGACTCATGAGTCTCTATCGAAAATCCTTCACGACCTTCCTATGGATGCCATACTCAACCAGGGTCGCACCGTGTGGCTCCCTGGTTCACCTCTCCAACAGCCGGTAATTACGGTTATTAAGCAACTGTTTAGTGACGCCTCGCTTGCGCCAGGAGCACTGTCTTGACCTCTTCTTGGGTGTCCGTCTGGCTGTAACCAACGGGTGTTGGTAAGTGTCTTGTTCCTTATATAGGCATACCGAGGAGGATATGCAGATTCATGTTCTGTACTGTCAGAAAGCACCAAATTGGTTCGTAGGCGCAGATAATGTGTTGCTATCGAGTAAAGCAGCTGGCATCAATAAAGCAGCCTCAACCTCCGAGATCTGCTCGCACAGAGCCTCTCCGAGGGTATGCTTCCGTCCCCATTTTCGATGTGTTGGACCCGGTTACGAAGCGCAACAACTTCGAAGCGATACGCAGTCAGGTCAATAGACATCGTCGTAAGTGTTGGGAATCTGGAATGGTATGCAACGGTTGTAGTTTGGATTCTGTGGTATGGAGGATGTGAAAGAAGAAATAATCATGTCGTCTGTGATCCAGAGGAAGGGGCTGGTAGTAACTGTGGTGGATCTTCGAAGCATTGAAGATATTGGAATGTATACGGTTATTCAGGGGTGGCTGTGGGAATGGGAAAGTTGATAGCACTGCGACTTCAACCCTCTCGATGCCATCGTCTGCAACTGAAGCTGTCGTTTCCAAAGGGCAGATGACTTAGGATCTGTCCATATAGCTTCGGCGAACGTTTAATTGGGGGTTGGCACCAGGACTCGACCTGGCGACAGGAGATGGTTTAGGGGAGAGGGCGCCATCCCACCGTTAGGAAGAGACTCTCCACAACCATAGGTGCGGACTGAGCTCAGCGGTGACTGCTAGGCTCTTTACTTGGGGTCAATGAGAGACGAGCGGTCCCAGATTTGCTGTATTTCCAAGGCAGCAATATTTTCATCCATGGCTTGCAAGTTTTATCCCACAGTGGGATTATGTCGTTTTCATGCTCATCATGCTCCACCTGAGGTAGTTGTATGATGGAGGGTAGTCTTTTGAGCCTGATCGACGAAGTCCTTTCCGTAGAAACAGATGTACCGTCCGTTTTCGTTTCAAAAGATTGTAGCAGGTCCATGGTGGGCTGAGCGTTATGTTCTTATCTACTGCAGAGGAATCGCAATCCCTGCAGGCTTGAAAGATAGAGAGCCTACTTCTGGTTGAAGTTTAAAGAGTGGAAGAGTTGAATGGGTCGTAGAGCATGTCTCGAACCATTTCCCAAGTGGTGGAAATCTGTTCAACTGACGCAGGATCCCCGATCTCGGCCTCACGAACCTCCACCCAGTGATGATGAGGCTGGTTCGTGGGCTCGAGATCCTTCTCGGATCTAATGATCCAGATACGTGCATATTGACTGGGTAAACCTGGCCGACGACTCTGTCCTTGATCTTAGGAAAGCTGGGACCCGGTGCGGCGTAATGCCTGCTCCTTGCGTCGGGATAGAATATGTCTATTGTAAGTCCTGTGAGTGTTTTGTAGTCGGAGACATATATATATGTATAAGTCAATACCAGACTTATTTCTGAGGTGAGTTGGGTCTCGATCCTGCCGGCAGTATGTTCGTTCTCGTCTTGAGAACCTCTGCATCGTGTCAAATCCGCGGTGGGTATACCGAGAGGGTTTATTAGACCCCTAGGGATAGGACCGTGTATTCGCCCACTGGCTGACAGCAGCATCTGTTTCCAGGCAACGCGGGGCAACCTTTTCTCAGTAGCCAGGCGAAGAAGAACAGTCTGGAGGGTTAGGGTGCAGTGGAGTTATGTTCCGTTGTGAAGTACCAGTCACTGGTTGTTGCCCGGTTCTTGTTTGCATGTAAATGCTAGTAAATCTAGCACCAAGTCCATACTGGTACCTCAAAAGGCTATTGTATAAAAGAATAATCGGGCGTATATTATATGCATGCCGTTGGAGGAGGCGATCAACCCCTCTATTTCGGATAGTCGGAGAAACCTTCTAATCTCCAGGCAAACTGCTGAAGGTGTGGAAGTCCATGATGGTAGGGAAGATCTATGGACATGTTGCCCATTTTCGTGATCTAAGCTTGTGGAAGCTCAACGCTTCGGGCGAGAAGAGACGTCTGCACTTGTGCTGCGAAGAGGTTCATCGTGCTTTCGCCTGACCATGTTTACGAGTGTCCACATCTCCAATATATATCACAAAAGAAGGCTGGTAAAGGGCGGCCACGCAACATGATCGTACGCGGCAGTTGCGATTGATCATACCACTCCTGTAAAGCCTTGTAGACAGGCATGGAGTGTAAGTCGGCTCTACTTTGCTATCTATATTATTAGATAACTGTCAAGAGGAGGCTTATTCTGATTGAGACTCACCGTCAGCGATGGAAAATCGATGAAACACGAGGGGAGCCAGGGTTCTTTTGATAAGGATCGAGGGTAAAGCTACTCCTAGCCTTGATTTCACCGATTATGGCTTCGAGATGGGCGCGCGGGAGTGAAATGGTCGGGCGGTCCTCGATATTGAGAGGCTCCAGTCCCCAGGACCCTGGGTTGATGAGCCACGAGGATTGCCCTCTGAACGCCAACCCCAGCCGCTCGAGGTGTGGCAGCCCGCCTCATAGGCCGACAGCATAGCAGGCTTCTCAAGATTGCCTGTAAGTGTTAGACATTGCTTCGATTCACTTGTGGAGGGAGGTTTGGGCAAATTCTGCATTGTTCACAGCTGGGCTCAACCATGAAGATAGCCAACTACAGTATGTAAAAGACAAGAAACACAGCTAGAAATATAGGGACAACATACTATTCAAGTCAAGATCTGTCCGCAGTTGGTGTCCAGGAATCAGCCGATGTATTGGCAGGATCCACGTTATTGCCCGAGGATGTATCTCCAGTGAGAATTGCCGCAGATTTGACATTACTCCCAGCTGGTCAGCAATGAGAGAGAGCCGGAATGGGATGTCCCCCGGATGGTGCATCCCGCCGATCGGGAAGGTCTCCGCCGGCCCCTTCTCTTGGACCACCAGCTGTTCGAGGTTCTCTAACTGGTTTAGCAGTGAGAAATCCAGATGAGAGTCAGTGCCACAGCCCAACGAATGCAAGGAGACAGTACTTACATATATATCCTTAGCCTCTCCGTTATGGCACGTCGCATAACCGACTAGGATGCCAATATAGAACACCGCTTGGAAAGCAACGCTTGCCATCACCTAGAAGGCCTCGTTGTTCACAATCGGCATCTGGGCTGCAAACCGCCGACAATACTCGGCTCGCTCGCTGATCTCCCACTGCATACCCTCATTTGGACTTGACAATGTCCGCCGAACTTCCTCGTGGTCAAAAGCTTTTTGGATCATGTAGTGTCTGAGGAAGTGTTGTGACGGCTGACCAGGACTAAATCTTTGACCTTCTCGTGGTTCTCTTTGGTGTTGAGAGTGCACCACAACCGAGCAGTCCTGAGAGCCAAGGTAGGAACATTACTGAGGTAGAGTACAAGGAAGATGCCATTGAGGTTGAACTTCTCATCGGAGATGAAGAGCTTTTGCGGATGGTTATACTTATATAGTACTATAGTTGGATTGATGAGAGAATGGAAAAAGAAGAAGACAGACCCGTGGTATTTATACCCAGAATCTAATCAGAGAGAATTCACCCATGACAAAATATTTGCTAATCGCAGCCTAGTTTGTATATCATTGACGACCAGGCTTCAGTTTGGTCGCTGTTTGCCAAGCAGAAGAATCAGCAAGCGATCCCCTTTGGCATGAATTTTTAGTCTATTTAGAAAAACAAAACTTAATTCAGTAAACGGTTGTTAGATCCAAGTAAGGAATGTTGAGTTGTTCTGAAGCAAAGTCAGTTCAGTTCAAATACCAAACACAGCATGAAGTGTTGATAGCAACAACTCATTGACAAAAGGTAAACAAATGGCTCAGTTTGAAGACGGAAAACAAGACAGAAACTCAAATCGATGGAAACAGCCATACCACAGGATTGTTTGGAATTGTGACATCGCCGAGAAGATTTGTGTTTTTACAGAGACAGATTGGAAAAGGGGTAACCCTTGAGAGTGGGATCACCGACAAAGTTTCTCAAGAAGCATACAAAAGACGTCTAAACTTATTACAAGATTGCCCAAGTTCTAGGCAGCGTGGCATCTTGAAAGCTCTTTGTTACCAACTCACCCACAATCTCACGAACACCCAGAACAACACTGAACCAAATAAGACCATTCTGCCTAAATGTTGATTGTATAATTGTCAAAGCCTCACAAATACAAGGCAAAGACCAAATAAGAACCCAAAACTCCTTTAGACACCATGCATCTCGCCATCACCTCATTTCATAACATTCACTCCGCACTCTGCCCATCCATGACACCACCAGAAAACCACTCCGCCAGCGTACTAAACCGATCTTCGCTGTTCTCCAGATCCATCTTGAATAGATCATGCTTGCCAGCCCGCTCCTTCTGTCCTTCGCGCATCTTGCGGATCATGTCGTTTTCAGGTGCACACTTGGGACACTCCGAATCGCCGTCGTTGCCGCCATTTCGAACGCAGCGTTGGTGGAAGCTGTGCTTGCAGAGGAAGTGAACGGCTGGTAGGTCAAGGCGCTGGCTGCAATCTGAGCACCATGTTGCTTGGAAAACGGCGGGTTTGGAGCCTAGGTCTGCAAGCTCCACGCGGCGCTTTTCTGTATCGCCGCGAAGATTGTTGATGCGGTTGCGGTTGGTAGCAATTTCTTTGCGCTCTCTTGTGATTGTCTCGTGAAGGTATGGTTTGATCATGCCCATGGTAGCTACGCCACCGCCTGAAGATTGACCAACTAGTGTTTGGATGACCTGCAAAGGAGCCATGAGTCCATCTTTGTCGATCTTGTTTAGCACGTTGGCCAACTCATCAGGTCCGGCTTCCTCCATTACCCTTTGGTCAGAAGTGAGATATGCCAGCGCAGCTGGATACAACTGTGGCTCCTCGGGGCCGTACTTTCTGAGGGCCTTCATGGCGCCTCGTGTGTCCTTAGCTGATGTGTAAGACCTGAAAATGTCGAAACGCAGTCCTGCCTGTTCCTTGACAAGGATGGTTCCATCTTGGAAATCCGCAAGATGCGAGAGGAGTAGAACATTCGAGCTTTCCATAGGCACATGATCGCCCTGGATGAGCTTCTTCGCCTTGGCCTCCCATTCCTCCTTGTGATCCTGTCCCTTCTTCTCGCTTGCCTTGTACAAGTACATCTCAAAGAGGGTAGTGTAAAGATCTGTTCGGTCACTCGACTTGAGCTCCTTTTCTTCGAGACATGCTTCGAGGAAGACGATAAACTCGTCAGGGTGGTCGATGAATGATGAGAATGCGGTTCTTGGTTGAGGAGGGGTGTACTTTGGTGCAGGTATATCGTCGTTATCCACGATAATGTTCCCATCGCTAACCACAGCCCTTGTGTTTCCGACTGTGCCAGGAGATGCGACGGAAGATGTATTCATGTAAGGTAAGGGCAGCAGATTGGACAAATTCTGAACAGCGCTGGCCGCCCCAGCTGCAAAGCCGCCACTGGCGGGCGTATCAATCTCGTTCGGCACCGTCAAAGTGCGCCGAGGTCGGTAATTTCCTGTATAGTAGTCCACAAATAACTTGGTAGCATCTTGAGGACAATTCTCTATAAGTACTCGGGCGTATTTCTGTAAACAAGGGTATGCCTGGACATGTTAGCCATCGTTCCCTCCAACAAGCGCTGGCACATACGATATCAGGGTCTTGACGCCAAACATAGTCGAGCGCTTCGACATAGTTCTTGGAGTCCTCTATCAAGATATCCACCACAAGATCAGTCTCGCCGTGCTTCTTGGCAAGATATGCAGCCTGCTCGTAGTACCCGCCTTGGCGACACATAGCAATTGCCGTATCAAGATCAAATTTGAGGTCGCCGGGAGACTTGATGAACTTTTCAAGCTTGTTGATGTCTTTAAGCTTTGCATAACAGTTGAGGAGAAGGGTGGTGTGGTCCGCAGTCGCTTTTCGATGTTCATGGAGTTGTTCCAGATATTGAATTAGGTTGTGAATGCGTTGCGTATCAAGGTACTAGAACATTAGCCTTGCTCATGAATAAGTACTAGCTACTCACTTTGCGAATGACCTGTGATGGCTCGGTCGTATCAATGGCTCGAATATACTGAACCATGGCGCCGTCATAGTCGGCCTTCTGGTATAAATGATCGCCAAATCGACGGTAAATAATGCTTTGCTGCTCATTATCCATTCCAGACTTTTGCGCCAGCTCGATAGCCAGAGGAAACATGTTCCTCTGATACAGCATTTCCAGTCTTTGCTGCAGGCTTTTCTCATGATACCGGTAAACCTGATGAAGTCAATAAGAGAACGCCGAAACCGGCAGACTCAACTTACCTTGCCATCTTGGAGAACTGTGAAGAAATCACCCCAGATGTCAACAAAGTGTCCCACAGGTGACATCAACGTCTCTGTATGACCGATAACTCGAAGATCCATATCCAACAGCACAAAAGAAGACGCATTGAATAGAGAATTAGTAGTAGTATTACCAAAGCGTCGCCTCATTGCCTCAGAATCCTTTGCAGTGCTGCTCGCTGGCGGGCACGCAAGCGCAACGTATTCATTGTAAACATCAATCTTGCTCTTTGGCGATTCGTACGCCTTGGGTGGCCCTCGACCATCCAATGTGTATGTGTAGATAGCATCATCACGCGCAACAATAACACCGTCTGTATTTGGATCACGCGTCATGCAGCCCACTGCGCATCCGGCATCTTCGATGGTCTTGGGCGGTAATCCATGGCCCTTTTTGGATAAACCGAGCTTCAATATTCGTGAAGTCGTGGAAACAAACAGAGTGGTGAGCTTCTGTGCCGCATCCCATGCGAGTTCAACACCGGTGATAGGCTCTTCTGATTCGAAAACGATTCGTTGCTTCGTACCGAGATCGTGGACCAATTCACCTCGAATTACGGTAACAGCGCCGTTAGTGAATCCCACAGCTATTTGTGTAAGATCGTCAGTAGCCGTAAACGCAGATATCTTCATTCCGTCAGTTTCCAACGCCGTATCAAACTCCCGTTAAGACTCACGGGAAATTGCCGTCGGTTATTGTTGATCATGACCGTGCTCAGACATGTCGGTGTGTTGGTCTTCTTAACAAGCTTGTCGAGAGCCCACACCTTCAGAACAGGCTCACTGCTCATGTCCTCCTATTAATAGCGTCAGTCCATCAATTCGACAGCTAAGCTTCAACAGCCCGTACCGCAACTGTCAACAAGAGACTTGTTCCTTCGACCTGGCGCATATGCGTGATGCTCCCAGCCTCGTAAGCCTGGAAGCGCTTGACAATCTTCCATGACTTGTTTATTATGCTAACATATCCATCGAACGATCCAAGGAAGAGACTATCGGAGCCTGCGCAAACGCTCGAGATCTCGTTGCCCTCGAAGAGCTGTCGGGCTTCATCGTCGGCGATGTTTATTTGGACGACGTCGAAGAAGTCAAACGACTTCCACTGCGATTCGTTGTCAGCATGATGAGTCTCGAAGTGCGCATGAACGAGGAAGGCCTATGCGCGCGTGATAACAGGGTGGTCCTTACTGAGATGGCCATCTTGAAGCATTCGGGAATGTCTTGAATTGGAGAAGATGAGCCGCGGCGCGATGACGATGGCGGGACGCTGAAGCTGGGGAGCTACAGGAGCTTGCCTAGCGCCACAGTGGCTGCTACCCCCAGGCACCCGACCCATCCATCACTGTGTGGATGTAGGTAAACTGACATATGCCCCTGTACCTAAGGTAGGATGACCCCTTAGGTATAGGGGTAAAAGCGGGTTAGAAAAATACTAAACCGGGAGATACTTTCTTACTTTTAATTAGCTATTAATATAGAGTATATACTAGGTTAGCTCCTTTTAATCTAATCCTCCTTTTTCCTTTATTCCTTTTATAATATAATATAATTAGGCTATATTAGCTATATATACTTAAGCTTTATTCTTTTTTAGTTAATATATAACTTTTATATTACTAAGATATAGTATATTTAATTCCTTACCTTACTATAGGCTACTTTATAACTTTATAATTTATTATTAAGCTATTATTTTACTTATAATAGGGAAAGTTATACCCCTAAGCTATAATAAGTTAGATAT